CCACAGGAGATGAGAACAGAATTCTTGACCCACATACATTTGGTTTGCACTAGGGCTTCACTAGACTCTGGAGAGGGAGAGACGAGGGACATGAGTCAGGAAGAGGGATGCAATACATACCTCTGCTTTCTTATGGAGGGGGCATTGTTTAAAATCTGATTTAATGTCTTCTGTTACCTGAGCCTACTTAGTTGAGATGGCTGAGTTTATCTCCAGGCAGTCCTGCCATTTTTCTTTTGGTGTCTTTTCCTCCTTGGTGTCATGGATATGAGGAGGCCCAGAGGTGGTAGAGAGAGATCCATTCCTCGCCTTGACTATAGCTCTCAGCTGGTTGCTATTCCCAAGGAGCCAATGGACAGATGGTGGCATCTGGCCCAGCAATGCCCAGCCAGGAAAAGTCTGCTCATTTCATCCAAAACCAGAGCCTTTAAAAAAAAAAATTATTATTTTTTAGTTGTAGTTGGACACAATACCTTTACTAATTTACTTTTCAATACCTTTATTTTGTTTATTTATTTTTATGTGGTGCTGAGGATCGAACCCAGGGCCTCACACACTGGCAAGTGCTCTACCGCTAAGTCACAACCCCAGCCCAACCAGAGCCTTTTTTGAAAAACAAACTAATTATGTCACTTTCGTATTCTAGCCTATCCTTTCACTGACAGAGTGTTATTTAATTTAATTAATTTATTTATTTTGAGGATGGGTATATCATTTTGCAACGTTAGCAAAAAAAGGTAACAAGGAGAAACAGATCTTTGAAACTGGTTCTAGTGAAGTTATTCTCCACCAGCAGGTATGGTGTTGGCTGATAGATTTCAAGTGCTGGCTGTAATTTGAAATGCAAATACCAGCACCCTTTATACCTATGCCTGCTTTGCCTTGTAGATTCTGATCCTCTGGAAAGTCGGGAACGGGGACCTCCTCATCCCTGTACGGTTTCCTGCACAGGCCCTCAGTCAGACACATACATTAAACCCATCACCTGGTGAGCATAGGCCTTCGTGGGGCTAGAAGAAGAGGCATTTGCAGGAAAACAGCCTGAGCAGGTGGTGACATGGGGAAGTTAGAGAGCAGCAGATACAGGAGACCCTGAGGGGGGGAACGGAGCCCTCCTCTTCCCCACTCCTTGCTCAGAGAGGCCTTCCCTGACTGCTCACTCAGAATTCACCAGCTTGTACTTTTTGGTTTTTTAATCACAGCCTCCTACTCTAGTTCTCTGCATACTCTTAAGTTTTAATTGTGGTAGAAAACACATAGCATAAAATTTACCATCTTAATTATCTTTTAAGTGTACCATTCAACAGTGATAAGTACATTTTCATTGCTGGGTGACCATCCTCACCATCCATCCCTGGAAACATTCCCTCCTGCAGAACTGAAACTCTGTACCTATTAAACAAGTCTGACCCCAGCCCCTAGCAACCACCACTTGCCTTTCTGTCTCTATGAATTTGACTACTCTAGGTATCTCAACTAAGTGACGTCCTATAGTGTTTTGTCGTTTGGGGACCAGTTTATTTCAGTGAGCAAAGTGTCTTCAAAGTTCATCCACATTGTAGTCTGTGACAGGATTTCCTTCATTTTAAAGCCAAATACTATTCCATTGTTTGTACATATCACATTTTTTTTTCCCATTAATTCCATGATGGACACTTGGGTTGTGCCCACGGTTTAGCTATTGTGGTTAATAATAATAATGTGAGTGTACAAATATCTTTTCAAGCCTGCCTTCAGTGCTTCTGAATACACAGCCAGGAGTAGGACTGCTAGATCATGGCAAAAGTAATGCAGAGGATTTCTGTGTACCGTTCATTCACCCACGTCCCCTACAGGAACCATCTTACTTAGTCGTCAAGTACATTTATCCAAGTGAAGTCACACTGCTACGGTCCTACGAACGCAGCTACAAGCTTTATTAGGATTTCACTAGCTTTTCGTCTCAAGTCCTTTTTCTCTTCTTGTACTTAGTTGTCACGTCCTCTCCGATCTGTGACAGTTCCTCAGTTTTTCCTTGGCTTTTGTGATTCTGACACTTGTAACCAGGGCAGGATTGTGAAGGGTCCATATTTTGAAAAATGTCCCTCGGTGTGGATTGTGTCAAATTTTGGGGGAGGAACACCACATGTTCATCGTGTCGTAGAGGGGACCCTGATATCAGCATGATACTCTCCTGGGTGGAGTTCACCTTCATCAGTTGACACAGTATCTGCAGATTAGGAGTAAGTCACTTCTTTTATTTTTTCCCCATCAAATGGACTCCCAGAAATGAAGGGCAGAGAATCAGAGTTGTCAGGTACACTGCTGTTCACCCTTGGCCTAGCTGTGTCTCTCTTAACATTGTCCAAAAGATGACTTTTTAAGATACTAAGGTAAAACACTGGGTAAGGTGAGAAAAGAGTCGTGCATGGGCCATTGTTTTTAAAGCCTAATGGTGGTTTAAATGATGACTCAGAGAAAGTTCTGGACCCTGATCCCTGTCCTTGGGGTATCCAGCATTTTCTTTTTCTTTGTGTGGCTTCCAGGTCTGTATACGATGAACAAGAGCATCAAGGGCCTGGGTCAAGGCAGGCAGAGCACGCAGACCTCCACTGTCTTCTGACAATGTCCTAGAGGGGAGAAGGTGGCCTGGGTGGCAGGTAACCTGGTCCCATTGCTGCCTCCCCCACCAGCAGGCTGGGTTACCCTTGGGCAGGTCACCAGCAGTCTTGGACTCCCTTTCTTCATCTGTAAAACAAGAGAGTTGATCCTCAAAGGCCGATTTGAGCTCACAGGTTCTCCCCAACAATGCCTGGCTTTGCTACCGAGGAACAAGTGTCCTCAGAGCCCCCAGCCTGCAGATGGCTGTGACCAGGCGGTGCCAGCCTCCTCTGTAGAATGGACAGGCTTGCCTTAGAAGAACCAGGAGCCTTCTAGGGCTGCTTTATTTGGAACCCCTCCCCACCATCTCCAAACAAGGGAACGTATTAGAATGACAAAGGAGAAGCAAGTTTCTGATGTGGAATTCCTGGATGTTAGCTTTGTGTACTGTGTAAGTGGAATAGTGAGTTTTTCTTTTTCCTGTCTCTTTCAGTGCTGAGGTTTGTCTGCCTTTCTTCAATGCCTGCTTGAACCACCTGTACCTAATACTTTCTCTCTCTCTCTCTCTCTCTCTCTCTCTCTCTCTCTCTCTCTCTCCCTCCCTTCCTCCCTCTCTCTCTCCCTCTCTCCCCTCTCCTCCTTCAGGTTTCTGAATTCCTGATGGATTGCTAGCAGAGCTGAAGGGGCTGCCACAGGATGTTTTCAGCTAATGTCGAGCTGGGTCATTTAATAAATCTGTCTTGCCAGGTCATTAAAACCTGGAAAGAGCGTGGAAAGGTGTTAGTTATGAAGGTCCCATAAAAACCTCTTCTTCAGGGATCAGCAGGGACGAGTGTTTAAAGGAGAACTTGAAAGCTGTGTAATTCAGAGCGAGCTGTGTGTCACTGGGCTGCATCTTGCCTGAATTCAGAGCTGGGGTGCTTGTCGCACCATCTTGGCATCCTCGCCAATTACTCTGTGGATGTTCTTTGTGAGAAGATGAGCTGAAAAAAAAAAAAAATGAGATGACCGAATTTCCCCCCCTGGCATTCTAGCTCTAATACATGCCTCTGTCCTGGCAACAGAAGCTCCCTGAGGAAAGCCATTTGTGTCCAGGACAGGGAGCTTTTGTTTTGCATATGGGCCAGCTGCAGGCCCATATGTTGGCCCTATAACAAGGTGGGCAGAGATGCCCTGGCTCCTGGTTCAACCAGGGCTGTCACGGAGCACAGCTGTGTCCTCAGAGGACTTCTCCAAGAAACCCACAGATTTTTAAGGGGACTAACACAATTAGGTACCACAGCAGGGGAGAAGGCTAGTCTATAATAATCTTGTCAGTTGTGAGGTTCAATCAAGACATCTGTGTTCTGAAAGTTTTCGTTTTCATTGTGGAAAATATAAAACGTACCATCAAATAGAGCATCTCAACCACATTCAAGTGTCCATTTCAGTGACAAGTAAGGACATTCCCGTGGCTGGGTGGCCATTACCACCACCCATCTCCAGGACTCTCCATATTGCAGAATTCTGTACCCTTGAAACACTTTATGCCTATTCCTAACCCCCGTTCTGCTTTTCAATTCCATGAATTTCACTGCTCTGTGTGTCTCGTGTAAGTGGACTCCTACAATATTTGTCCTTTTATAACTGCTCTTGTCACTTGGCATAATGACTTCAGGTTCATTCATTTTTTTGTCATGGGTCATATTTCGTTGAATGGAAATATCACATTTTGTTTACCCTTTCATGCTTGGGTGGCTTCCACGTTTTAGCTAATTGTGAACAAGGCTGCTGGAGGGTGAGGGTACACGGAGCTGGAAATGCTGGCTCCGGTGGTTTGTGGGAACTTTAAAGTCACTATATTCTTGGGAGACTATCTTTGAGGTTCTGATTTGACTCACCATAAGCATTAATGAATCAGTTTTTATTGGGATTTGAAAAATAGAAGCAAGGGGAGGAAAAAAAAATGTGGTCATTCTTTGGTAATCAAAGTCCAAGTTTGAGCTGTCTGCTATGATGACAAAACCAGGAGACAGCACCCTGTTTTGTCCTGTTTTCTTTGTAGCATTCTAAAGCTCCAGGTCTGTTGCTGCCACCAGGAAAATGTGTATTTTAGTGATCTTGCTTTTGATAGGAATTCGAAGTATTTATAAAGTGTTAGTAGCATTCAGAGTTTTCACTCATCCATACTTTTAAAGAATTGAGAATTATTCTTTTTTATATTTATTCATTTGATTTTTTTTTTTTTTTTTGAGACGGTCTTACTATGTCGCCCAGGCTGGCCTCAATCTCCTGAGCTAAAGCAATCCTTGTGCCTCAGCCTCCTGAATATAGCTGGGTAGTACACGCACATGTCACTACTCATGGCTTATAAAACAATTTTAGACACAAAAGTATTTACTTCAAACGAATCCGATAGATCAAAATCTAGTATGATAAAGTTGACATGCAATGGGGAATTCTTTATTTTAGAGAATGAGTGACAGCTTTGCAAAGATTCACCATGGAATATCTTTACGATCGCAAGCTCTGCTCGCGAATGAAGGTTTAATTCAGTGTACAAAAAATATTGATTCACACAAACTTTGGTTCTGCTCGTAGCAGTCTAGGGGCTGTAAGCATCTGCTGTGATAATGACGTGCTTCGTGTAATTTCAGCCCGGCACCTGGTTTGTGTTTTTTCAAATGGTACTGGTGGTGCACATCATTGCTACCTACCCCGGGGAACTGGGTTGTTTTCAACCCTGGAGAAACCTGTGGGCATTTCAGGATCGCATTATGAGTTGATGTGGCCACCACCAGAAGAATCTTGTCATTTTGCCCCATAGCTGAAGCCTTTCCGAGGGCTCTATCGCTTTTGGCTTCAGCAGGCCCTCTCCACCCCCACTTGCTCTACTCGTTTTGCTGAGCTGGTTTCAGTTCCTTGAAAACCTTATTATCTATCTCATCACTGGTCTTTTGCTGGAACATTGTCCTGGGGTGACCTCTCATGTGAAATTTGCTGGTGAAGTCCTCATGTGACATATGTGCCACTTTTTCCAGAACTTTCTTCTGATCGCTCCCTTCTGGGTTTGCAGCCCCTCCTCTGGGTGTTCACAACACTGGCTACTGTCCTGGTGAACAGAATCATAGAATTCAGCATGTGGGTTCTACATTCCAATTGTTTGGTTTTACTAAATATTGACCAGCTATAAAATACCAATAAGATATATGTCAGGTAAAAGATTGTGACACCTTGCACATGTGGGTAGTCACACTCCCCAGCTTTGAGACCTTTGAAGTTCCCTGTGGGCCCATCCCCACAGGAACAGTGAGCCTGGCTAGATTTGGCCTTGTGTGTTCCCTTGCATTTCTTTACCCTTGGACCTTATGTACTAATACTCTGTTAGTCAGCCCTACGTAGCTGTTGCAAAGTACCGCAGATAAACAACTTAGAAAAAGAAAAGTTTTATTTTGGCTGATGGTTTCAGAGGTTTCAGTCCATGGTCAGGGTGGGAGACCAGGGAAGTGGAACCCTGTCACCTCATGGCAGCTGGAAAGCAAAGAGAGAGGCAGGGACTGGGGTCCCAGGATACCCTTCAAGGGGGTACATCCCCAATGACCCAACTTCCTTCCTGCCACCAAGCCCAACCTCCCAAAAGTTCCACCACCTCCCAGTAACATGACAGTCTGGAACCAAGGCTTACATGCATGGACCTCTCGGGGATACTCCAGACCCAAATTACAGCAGATTTATGAATACCATGTCATTTAGTTTTGCATGTTTTTAAACTTTTAATAAGTTGAAGCAAGCTGTGTGTGTTCTACTATGTACATTTTCTTCCATGTGGCATTATTCCTGAGATGCCCTCCATTGATCTTTATAGCTCTAATTCGTTCATTTCACTGCTCTCTGAATAGATCACTGTTCTTTGGGCTGCAGTAGATTTTTTTTACATATCTCTATCCTCATCTTCATTCCTTCTCTTTCCCTATGCCCACACTTTGACCCCAACACATAATTTTAAACTCTAAAATGGTAGGTATTGAGTTTATCTTGCTCATGGTCCTGTCCCTGAATACGGCCTGTAAGAAAACATTTGTCACTTAAGTGAAATGTGTGCTCTCTGGTCTGGGGGTCTGCTGGGACTAGCGGGCGGGCCTGCCATTCCTGCATTCCATCAGCAGTGACAGCATGTTGCCCTTGTTTGGCAGGACTTCTTTCCTCTCTACGGACCTTTTCTTGCCACAGAACTCTAGATCAGGGCTCAACAAACTCTTTCTGTAAAAAGCCAGATGGTAAATATTTTAGATGTTGTGGGCCATGTGACTTTTGTCCCAACTACCATTGTAGCTTGAAATCAGCCACAGATGATATGTAAACAAATGGGTGTTCCGGTAAAATCTTATTTACAAAAAGGAAAATAAGCCACAGGCCAGAATTGTCCCACAGGCTGCATTTTGCCAACATTTGCTCTAGACGACTCCCCTTATTGGAAGGGAAGACAATGTTGGTACCATGTGAGAGGGAACCTCCATCACAGAGTCCAGGGGGACTCTCCAGCCTAAGACAGACAGGAGCAGACAGAGTCCCTTCACAAGGACCTAAGGCAGCATGAAAGTCAAGGTAGGAAGGTAGCAGTTTCCAGGCGAGGACCAAAGTCCATCTTAAAGGTTCATGTGGACCATGTTCCAAAGCCATGAATAAAGTGTGACCCGTAGGGTTTGAGTTTCAGCCTGGCATGGAGTTAGGAAGTCCCATCCCAACCCTTTCTGCCCTGATTTATCCCCAGCATCTGAGACTTAAACCCGGTGAGCTATGCTGACCAAGAATTGAGAGTGTGACACTCGACTCTATCCAGCATACAGGACAGATTCCCTTGGAGAAAATACTGATGTAGGTGTTGGATTGACTGGAGCTGCATCTTTGAAGAGTTTGAAGTTCAGGTAGAGGAACGACCTCTGCTGAATCGTTTCCTTGTGTTAAACCCCCGACGTGTTCAGGATATGGGGTGGTGAGTGAGGTCAAACATTCCAGGGAAGGAATGGAGGCTTGGGGCAGACAGGATTGAACTTGGGGTCAGTCTTAGTCATCTCATTATTAAGTGGTGATATATTGGCCTGTCTCACCAAATTATTACAAGGGGTGTGATTTTCTCTCTCTGATAGCAAATGAGTTTGAGTGAAGTATGGATGTAGGACGTCAAGAAGAAAAAGGACATGAGTAAGGTACACCAGTGCTAATTGAGTACGGCCCGGCATTGTCCTAGCTCTTCCTCCTCCTCCCATCCGCACCTCCACCAGATGAAGAAAGTGCTGTGACCATTCCTGCCCCACAGAGGACAAGGAGGCACAGAGACAGGCACTGGGCCAGGCTGGCCTAGATAGGCCATGGTAGAACCAGGGTTTATTACCCACCGTGTGTGGCCGGTTGACAACAGTATCTCGGCAGCAACACAGTTTGTCACAGCGCCAGCACTGGCATGAGTTGGTTTTGTTATATTTTTACTGAGCATCAGTCCTGGAATCCCACCCTGAGGCGACAGCCCCATTCCGCCGTCCTGGAGTTACTCATGCCTGACCTACAGCCGAACAGATAAAAGCTGTCCCAGTGAAAAATCCCTGGAAAAAAAAAATCAGAGCATAATATTGAAGTTAACTGAGGCTCCACTAGGATCCAGGTCCTGTGGCAGGTGGACCTGAGGCAGGTGGACCATGCTCCGTCTGTGCTCTGACACTCTCTCGTCTCCTGCAGGGAGGCCCTGGTAGGCTGGGTGGGTGCTGTATCTCAGAGCCTGGTAGGGTCAGCTGTGGCTAGGCCTGGGGTGGTTCCAGGGCTCTGGTGAAGGAGACATAGAAAGTGGACTGGAGATCTGAGCCATTTTCCCCAGGACATAAGTCTTCCAGGAAATGACATCCTGTAGCCACATGTGAGGTGCTGTTCAGGGTTCAGAATTTTATTGGGTTTTAAAATTTTTATTATCTATTTATTTATTTTGGCACCAAGGATTGAAACCAGGGCTATTCATCTCCTGAGCTTTTTAAAACTTTTTATTTTGAGACAGGGTCTTGCTAAGTTGCTAAGGCTGGCTTTGAACGTGAGATCCTCCTTCCTCAGCCTCCTTAGCTGCTGGGATTACAGGTGTGCACCACCACTCCCAGTGTGTTCAGAGAATTTCCAGGTAAGAAAGTATGGAAGTCATTGATGCCTTTGCCAATATTTCCCTTGAGGTTGGACCATGTGACTAGTTCTGATGTATGAACTGGGGGTGGAAGGGATCTGTCCCTTCTGATCGGGAGCATTTGATCACCTATGAGAGACCTCTGGGCTTCTAGCATTTCAGCCTACAGTGTGCAAGATGATGGCTCCTCCTGAAATGTGCATCCTCAAGTGGCGATAAGCAGGACCCCCTACCAATCCTAGTGGGCACATAGCATGAGCAAGAAATAACTTTTGATATTGTAAGCCTCTGAGATTGGTGAGAGTTTTTGTTACTGACCTAGCCTGTGACGGATATATTATAACCCCCCTGTAGTTTCCTCCTGTCATTGCAGACAGCTTGTCTGAACCATTTTTAAAATGATTTGACATGAGTTTGGATTAGCATGTAAGAATGCTAGTGTTGACTGGAGGTGTCGTTCGGTGGTAGAGTGTGCACCTTGCGTGTGTGAGGCCCTGAAACTCAGCACCCAGGAAGAAGAAGAAGAAGAAGAAGGAGAAGGAGAAGGAGAAGAAGAAGAATGATGTTAGTATTGACTTTGGGTATGTATAGTTTTATACAGAATAAATAGGTTCAAACACAGCCCACTTTCATAAGGACTTTGTATATGTTGGTGTAAGTCTACTGTATTCACTTTCCATTGCTATTACAAAATTCCTGAGAAAATCAACTTACAAAGAGGGAAGATTTATTTTGGCTCATGGTTGCAAAGATTTCAGTCCATGGTTGCTTGGCCCTGTTGCCTTTGGGTCTGAGACAGCACAAAAGAATGGGAACATGTGGCAAAGGAAGCTGTTCACCTCCTGGTGGTGAAAAAGGGAAAGAGGGGGCTGGGGTCCCAGTATCCCCTGTAAGGGCACAGCCTAATGGCCTAGCTTCCTTCACTCGGCCCCGCCTTTCAGTGGTGCCACAGGCTGGGGACCAAGCCTTCAACACATGGACTTTGGGGGGACATTTAAAATCCAAACCATAACATCTACCAAAGTGACTTGTTTCATGATGGTGTCAAGATTTTTTTGATTCATTGGTCAGACAATTGTTAGGGACTCAAATGTATATAAATACTATTAGTGGAACTATCCAAATTAGTTATTTGCTAGAAAACGTCTTCCCTTTCTGGTTTGAAAAAGTTCTTTATAGGAAGACCTTATGTTAATATCTTAACCAGCTACATCAGATATTACAGGGTGGGTTAGTGGGGCTGTGACATGTCTCCTATTTGCCCACACAGATTCCTTTCAGCTTAAAATCTTCATCTAAACATTTCCAGAAGGTGCTCAAATGATGAGTTTGGATAAACCCTTCACCCCTGTAGAGTCTGTCTTGTTCCGTTACTCATGTCCCGCACAGATATCAATTAGCATTTCTGTACCCAAGCCCTCTTGGCCCGCCAGCCCTCACCAGGTTTTTATATTCTCTTTCTCCCGTCGTTCTCTCTGGCATGCACACATACACACAGGCTGTCTCTGCACAGATTTAAATGAGTCCAGTTCTAAAAGCCCCGATCCTGGAGAAATATCTGCACATTATTCATCATCCTAATAAATAAAACCACAGGAACCCTTTGAAGTACCCGCTGGGAACAGGGAGGCTGGGGGAGCATGCATCAGTCATCTGAGCCCACCCCAGCTGCGAGGCTCTAGTTTGAATTGCATAAGTTTCCACTCAGGCACGTACTACGGATGTTTAGGTTTTCAACTTGTGTTCAAGTTGCTGACGTGAAGCTAGGGGTAGAATTAGTGGGAACATTTTAGTATTGGGGGGAAAAGGAAAAATGGCAACATTCCAACCCCCAAAATGCATAGTCAACTTTCTGTTTCACCTGAGCTTTTTAAGTTTCCAAAACCAAGTGGAAAATCCTCCCCTCTCCTCACTGTCTTCCACCTCCCAATTCCTCAACCCCCGGGCCCCACAAATGCAATACCTTGAATTTGCTGCATGGTGTCCTTTATGTTATATGACAGTGCTCCATAACATGAGATATAACTTTTCATCCTTGATGAGGAAGTGCACACACCTGAGCTTTCTTAAGGAGCAGTTGGTGATTTTTTAGAGCTTATAGATTATCATTAGAAAGGTGGCTCTTTCCCTCAAAGAACTTCCAACCTGTCAGGTTATTTAAAACTACTTTTGCCTGGTCATATTTGGTCAGACTTGCTGGGAACCTAAGGTCCTATGGTAAGAAAGTATATTTCAGAACTGCCGCTTTGGACTAGACTCAACATCAGAGAATAGAACTTGTCTCAGAGGCAGGCCAGGTATAAGCGTGGATCCCCAGGGAGCTCATTAAGGGCAGCAGACTTTCACCTTGCAGAAAACAGGGCACAAAGGGGCAGGCTGGTGGGGAGGCCTAGACCGAGCTGTCCTACAAAGATGGGCCCTTAAGCTGCAACTGAGAGTCCAGACCACAGTCCAGTTCATGCTTGGTATTAAAATCTGACATTTGAAGAGGTTAAGAGACATTCCTAAGGCCCGACAGACGGTGTCTGAACTAGGGTCAGAATTCAAACATTCTGAATAGCAATCTCATGCCCTTCAGGTAGGGACATAGAAAACAGGAAGGGAAACTGGCACCTGTTTCCTTTGTAGTAATACCAATAACTGCAATAGTCGTCTAGGTAAAGGTGGTTTTAAATGCCTTTCAAGTCTTGCCAGAGTACGTGTTGATGTGGGATCATGGTTTTCCTGTCCTTGCGACCCTTTATTTCTAGGAGAACCGTCCAGATCCATGCCGCCCCTGCCTGATGAACGTTTGGCTCTGTTGATTTCAGGCCTCACAGTGTATCACCTGACAAACATGCCCAGCCAGGGGAGAGAGGATGGTAGGTCAGCTGAGCATGAAGTACAGAGTCTCTGGGGCTGTCCGTCTCGTTAAATGCTAAAGGAGGAGTCAAGGGCACAGAGGGATTAGTCACAAGTGTCTTAGGTATGTGCTGTCATTGCGGGTTTCCAAGGAAACAGATTCCATAACGATGTCGCTCAGCCTGTCAGATGCCCTGGGACTCAAGGTGTGTGCGTCCTGTTCCATAAGGACTTGCTCACAAGATCCACACACTGCCAGTATCCTCCGTCAGGAGAGACCACCCATGTCCTGCTGGTCTTGGTCTGCTCATGAGCCTGTGAGGTGCTCCATGTGAGGTGTCAATACTTTCTCCCCAGGGCTGCCCTGGTTTCACTGGATCTTGCTAGAATGCCATCAACAGTCTCTAGTTTCCCTGACCCCCATCTCTCCTTTGCCAATACTGCCCTTGTCTACGTATAACACAGCTCAAGGATCTCTGATTCTGATTCTGTAGCCTCACCCCCTTCACTGAAAGACTTTGAAAAGCGCAGTTTTGCTCACCAGGTACTATGCAGCTGCACCAGAGGTGACTAGCATTAAAGCCGTGGTAGGCAGTGCCTGTCCCCATATTGCTGCTGCTTACCAATGTGAGAAGGCACGTAGGCACTTAATCCCTGCACTAAGGCACAACAGAGGAGCCACCCAGCCCAGTGATTGGAGATTGCTGAAGGGGGTGGGGAGATTGGAGGGCTTCTCATGAGCCCCTCCTGCACTCTGCAGGATTCCCCACTGTCCCCTGTCCTGCATTTCCTCCCGTTCACCCTTTCCACCCAGCCCCGTCCCCCATGCTTTCCTTTGTACCCTCCCGCCATCCGTAGTGCCCTTCTTCCTCCACCCACCAGCACATGTCCAGATTTTACTTGTTTTTAACCTGCCCACTCAGAGGGCCCTTTGCCTTCATAGATCTTCTTCCCATCTCTCCCACCTGCAAACGAGGGGTCCAGCCTAACGCCTTGTATGACCTCACTTTTGCCTTCTCCCTCTGGCTAATCTACAAGGTAAATGGGGATCTCATTGGATTTTTTTGTCCAAATGACCTAACACAGGGAACGGAACCTCAACAAACTGTATTTATTTAGTAGGCACCAAAATATTTGTCAGAAAAGTGAATAAATTAGGGATGTATACCAGATAGCTGAGAGTCCTTGGGAATTCAGGAGAAGGAGAAGAATGACATGAACTTCAAGAGGGAGAACCATATGAAAGGAGGCCTCAAGACGAAGGTCGGTGGTTGGGCTGAGGGACAAGAAGGCCATGGGGTACAGTAAGAGATGCAGAGTGATTGAAGTGGCAGCCACATGGTGGGAGTGATGGGAGGGGAAGGGGAAGCACTAGGTGGTGGGTTGGTAGTGGCTCCGAAAAATAGGCCAAAGGGGAGGACTCTGGGAAGAGCCACGTTGCGCCATGGTTGAGTGCTGGCCTCATTTGGCTGAGGCACGGCAGTGGTCAGACGAATTGCTCAGATCAGAATGAAGAGGGAGGCAGAGGAGCTGGGTTGCCAGCCTCTGCTCCCATTTCCCATTGGGGGATGCCGCTTGGAAATGATTGCACAATGGCCGTGTGC